CACACACACACACACACACACACACACACACACACACACACACACACACACACACACACACACACATATATATATATATATATATATATATTGCGAGGACATAGTTCTTGATTCGCCTACTAGGTTCTTTTCATATAATATCCATGGGTAATAACCGAATGGATTTAATTAGCCAGACCTCTACGACAGCCTATACGATTAAAACTGCTGCCTGCTCGGCTACTATCGTCTCTCCTCGGTATTATGTTGTTTAAAGAATTCCTTATACATTGAATGAACGGCATGAATATGCATTCGGATACTTTCATTATACGAGAGAACATGATTAAAAAGAAACGCGGTGCATTTAAACGGTTGAGATTGCAAGTATGAAACTAATGAGCCTTAATTCCTTCGCGCAGGTGCGCTTCGTCTGCGCTCGAAATAAATTCCACTCAAAATTAACAATGTGTAATTTATTCACAATTATCAGACATTCAGTCTATGGCGATGGGCTATTATACGGCTGTTTATTTTTTGTCAGATTTCAGTGCTAATCTAGCGCGTGCCCGTTTGTCTTCCTCTGCGTTATCGGAAGGGATTTATGGGTTAACGCGACTTGTGATGATGTTTGAAAATGATGCACGGTGGCCCGATGCATAGACGAAAAATAAAAGCAGCCGATAAAAACGCTGGTTGCGTGCGAAACATCATGGATTACGCCAGAAAACCCACAACAATCATGTAGTTGGATTTATTCTAGCTGTGGCTAGTCCAACGCCAAGTCTGAATGTATACTTTGAGCGGACGGATCGCGATTGCTGAGTGGCACGTATGGGCTGGAGTGTGCCTGCATACTCGACAGTATGGTTAATGGATTCACAATAAATTAACCTATTTAGTTGTATCAGGGGGTGTTTAACTAAATAGATGCAGATGCGGATAGTGGAATAAAAGCAAATGCCTCTCCGGCATCCCACGTCAACCGATAACATTACCTACCAAATTGGTCATCATACACTGAGACCCCCTTAATTACAAGCCCGGGAACAAAGACCATGGAGTGGTTAATCCGTTATGTGAGGGAATCCATTATGTGCTCACTTGGGAGGGAACGCGGGAGTTTGGTGTCGAACCTTTAAAAGCTAAGCTCTCATGTTGAAACTCCGCTGTAAATCTCCATAGCACGGTTAGCAGCTTCGAATGACGCCTTTCACATCACTACCGACCCTTTGCCCTTCACGTGCAGATGCACAAACACGCGCACGCACATTTCTACATGCAGGCGTGTACGCACGCACACACACACACACACGTGCACATACAAACACGCGTGCACACGCCTTCACGAGCAAACACATGCGCGGGCGCACATACACACACATACACACACACGCGCGTGCACCCCCTCCCACACACACACCACACACACACACACACACACACACACACACACACAACACACACACACACACA